CTAGTCTATAGTCTAGTCTATAGTCTAGTCTATAGTCTAGTCTATAGTCTAGTCTATAGTCTAGTCTATAGTCTAGTCTATAGTCTAGTCTATAGTCTAGTCTATAGTCTAGTCTATAGTCTAGTCTATAGTCTAGTCTATAGTCTAGTCTATAGTCTAGTCTATAGTCTAGTCTATAGTCTAGTCTATAGTCTAGTCTATAGTCTAGTCTATAGTCTAGTCTATAGTCTAGTCTATAGTCTCTATAGTCTAGTCTATAGTCTAGTCTATAGTCTAGTCTATAGTCTAGTCTATAGTCTAGTCTATAGTCTAGTCTATAGTCTAGTCTATAGTCTAGTCTATAGTCTAGTCTATAGTCTAGTCTATAGTCTAGTCTATAGTCTAGTCTATAGTCTAGTCTATAGTCTAGTCTATAGTCTAGTCTATAGTCTAGTCTATAGTCTAGTCTATAGTCTAGTCTATAGTCTAGTCTATAGTCTAGTCTATAGTCTAGTCTATAGTCTAGTCTATAGTCTAGTCTATAGTCTAGTCTATAGTCTAGTCTATAGTCTAGTCTATAGTCTAGTCTATAGTCTAGTCTATAGTCTAGTCTATAGTCTAGTCTATAGTCTAGTCTATAGTCTAGTCTATAGTCTAGTCTAGTCTAGTCTATAGTCTAGTCTATAGTCTAGTCTATAGTCTAGTCTATAGTCTAGTCTATAGTCTAGTCTAGTCTAGTCTATAGTCTAGTCTATAGTCTAGTCTATAGTCTAGTCTATAGTCTAGTCTATAGTCTAGTCTATAGTCTAGTCTATAGTCTAGTCTATAGTCTAGTCTATAGTCTAGTCTATAGTCTAGTCTATAGTCTAGTCTATAGTCTAGTCTATAGTCTAGTCTATAGTCTAGTCTATAGTCTAGTCTATAGTCTAGTCTATAGTCTAGTCTATAGTCTAGTCTATAGTCTAGTCTATAGTCTAGTCTATAGTCTTGTCTATAGTCTAGTCTATAGTCTAGTCTATAGTCTAGTCTATAGTCTAGTCTATAGTCTAGTCTATAGCCTAGTCTATAGCCTAGTCTATAGCCTAGTCTATAGTCTAGTCTATAGTCTAGTCTATAGTCTAGTCTATAGTCTAGTCTATAGTCTAGTCTATAGTCTAGTCTATAGTCTAGTCTATAGTCTAGTCTATAGTCTAGTCTATAGTCTAGTCTATAGTCTAGTCTATAGTCTAGTCTATAGTCTAGTCTATAGTCTAGTCTATAGTCTAGTCTATAGTCTAGTCTAAAATCTAGTCTATAGTATACTCTATATTCCACTCTAAAGTCTAATCTATAACCTAGTCTTTAGTCTAGTTTATAGTCTAGTCTACAATCTAGTCTATAGTCTAGTCATAGTATAGTCTATAGCCTAGTCTTTAGTCAAGTTTATAGTCTAGTCTACAGTCTAACTATAGTCTGGACATAGTATAGTCTATAGGCTAGCCTTTAGTCTAGTTTATCGCTTCGTCTATAACCTAGTCTATGATCTAGTCTATAGTCCTTGTCTATAGTATAGCCTAAAGTCTAGTTTATAGTCCTAGTCTACAATCTAGTCTATAGTCGACTATATAGCGTAGTCTATAGTCTAGTCTATTAAAAAAACTGTCATGTGTTCATACATATATTCACAACTTAACAAATATAATAGCTTTAATTAACAATTAATTAGCAAAATTCTAATAAATAATAAAATATACAGTTATTCTTTAAAATTTTGCCTACAAAATCCTTATTATCCTTACAACAAAACCAACAAGTAGCATCTTCCTTACAAAATTTTTAACATTTTATCTAAGCTCCTAGCAACGCCGTATAAACACAATCTCATGTTACAAAATGTAATAAAAAAATTCTTCTAAAAGAAAAAACTAAAACAATTTTTTCCTTTAAAAAAATTTCGCCTTTAGGCAATAGGCAGGCGGCCGACAGCATCAGCCATTTGTTATTAAGAACAATCTCAAAATATTTTGCCTTTAATTTAAGACAAAAAAACCTTTTAAATTTGTCTCTTACTATTTATTCGTTTGCCTTAAAATATGGCGTCCATTTGCGCATGTTAAACTTTGAGATTAGAAGCGAAACAACCAATAAGAAAATTGCAATCAAACGAAGACTTCATTGTTGTTGATATACAAAAAGAACAACAAACACAGCAACAATAAAAAGGTTTACACCTTTTTGTTTTAGAACGTTATTGCTGCTGTTAGTAGTAGTTGTTTGAGTACAAAAAAAACAGGTATTGTCAGAAAGTACAGTAATAACAACAACAACAACATTATAAGATAATCAGAAGTGGGCGTTAACATTTGTAAAACACCATTAATAATAGTAACTGGTTTTTTGTGGAAATGAAAACATTTATTATTATTGTGTGAATGAAGATTTACCAGTAGTTTTCAAACTGTTTGGAAAGAGATAGTAAGAGAAATTAAATAATGTTCTCATTGAGATCAAATATTTAGAGCTGCCAGTCTGTTTTATTGTTAGTCGTCAGTATTTTTAGTGGAAAATAAAGAGCTATAGTAAACTTTTAGAAAATATTGATTTTCTTGATTGAGATCAAAAATCGAGCTAAACAGAGGAGGTAATTATTGTTAAATTATATGGCAACAATTTTATGGTTATGAAAAGTTGTAGACATTGAAATCACCTGCACCTGAGCTTCTATAAAAGCTCAGAAATTGATACACACGAATATGAATATCCTGCGAATTATAACTTTTAGATACCTAGGTTTAACATAAAACCCTGCAGAGGCAAACCTGAGTTATATAAACTAATTCTAAATATGTCTTAATTGGTCTATATCCTATATATGTAAATGATGATTAAAGTTCAATAGTTATTCATATTTAAAGAAATGGCTGAGGGTGAAAGATTTACAAAAGAATCACACTGGCAACACTGTTTGTGGTGTTAAAATTTGTTTTGCTTTATTTGCAGTACATCTATCTATCTATCTACCTATCTATATATCTATCTATCTATCTATCTATCTATCTATCTATCTATCTATCTATCTATCTATCTATCTATCTATCTATCTATCTATCTATCTATCTATCTATCTATCTATCTATCTATCTATCTATCTATCTATCTATATATCTATCTATCTATCTATCTATCTATCTATCTATCTATCTATCTATCTATCTATCTATCTATCTATCTATCTATCTATCTATCTATCTATCTATCTATCTATCTATCTATCTATCTATCTATCTATCTATCTATCTATCTATCTATCTATCTATCTATCTAATCTATCTATCTATCTATCTATCTATCTATCTATCTATCTATCTATCTATCTATCTATCTATCTATCTATCTATCTATCTTATCTATCTATCTATCTATCTATCTATCTATCTATCTATTAGCTATCTATCTATCTATCTATCTATCTATCTATCTATCTATCTATCTATCTATCTATCTATCTATCTATCTATCTATCTATCTATCTATCTATCTATCTATCTATCTATCTATCTATCTATCTATCTATCTATCTATCTATCTATCTATCTATCTATCTATCTATCTATCTATCTATCTATCTATCTATCTATCTATCTCTATCTATCTATCTATCTCTATCTATCTATCTATCTATCTATCTATCTATCTATCTATCTATCTATCTATCTATCTATCTATCTATCTATCTATCTATCTATCTATCTATCTATCTATCTATCTATCTATCTATCTATCTATCTATCCTATCTATCTATCTATCTATCTATCTATCTATCTATCTATCTATCTATCTATCTATCTATCTATCTATCTATCTATCTATCTATCTATCTATCTATCTATCTATCTATCTATCTATCTATCTATCTATCTATCTATCTATCTATCTATCTATCTATCTATATCTATCTATCTATCTATCTATCTATCTATCTATCTATCTATCTATCTATCTATCTATCTATCTAGCTATCTATCTATCATCTATCTATCTATCTATCTATCTATCTATCTATCTATCTATCTATGAAAAAAATATAATAATTTTTTCCCACACTGTTAGTCTATCATTAACACAACTCTCTTCTCTTTTCTAATTATTAATATCCAATTAGAAACGTTCTCTTAAAAACATAAAAAACAGTTTGAGAAATATTGCAAAATCCTCACACTTAACAATTAACTACCGTTACTTGCACGCCTACCCAGAGAATAATTAAAGAGAGAAGAGTATAACAATAGAGATACAAATACAACAAAGGTAATCTAAACAAACAGTGATGATAATAAAGCAATGATAATGACAATGATGGTTAAAATAATAACAAATGATTCTTGTTGTTGGAACAATGACTGAAGAATGGTGGTGGCAACATCAACAAGATAATAGTGGTGGTAGTCTGTTTGTTGTTGTTGCTGTTTATTTCTTGTTTATCTTTTATACTGTTTACTCCTGTTGTCTGTTGTTCGATCGTAAAGTATATGCCGATTTGATTACACTCACTCACTGACACTCTCACTCATTCATATACTCTAGGTGGCACCACCACTGTAATGAGACGATATTTTGAATTTTAGTTTAACGTTTCCTGTCTTTGCGTGTGGTTGATACGAGGGAATATTTTTTTAAACAGAACGTAACGAAGAATAAAAGAAGACATTTTTTTTGTCTTGAATACCGAAAATTAAGAACGGGCAAAGAAACAAAGTGATTTGTTTTACGTTTTTTTTGTGTTTCTGTGTTTTATTTTGAAAAACGTGCGGCGAATTTATACGAAAAAAAGAAAAATATTTGAAATAAGTTTAAACAAAAAGGAATTATACAATAAGTTTATTTTGTTTTATAAAAAAAGGAAAGAAAAATACATAAATAAATAAAAATAATAAATAAATTTAAAAATTATACAAATTTTGGTGAAAGTTTTAATACCCAAATTTTTAATAAAAAGAAAAATTTAAAAAAATTTGCAAAAAGGAAAAAGTAAAAAAAATTATTTAAAAAAGTGCAATAAATTGTTTAAACAATTTTATTATCATATTTATTTGGATTATTAACAATATAAAATTTATCTCAACAAATTTTAAAAGGTAATTATAATTTCAATATTTTTTTTTTAATTAAATGCCGACGGCTTTTTGGTGTAAACAATTTGTCAAGTGTATAAATTGTTTGTATACTTTAGAGTTGCCAAGTTAAACATTTTATTTTCTCTATAAAGGGAAAGAATTTGTTGTTGTAACAGTTCTACGATCGGCTAGAGGAGTTCTTTCCTGGAGAGAGAAATTGTGTAGCTAACACTTAGTTTACAAATATTTGGCCGACTCGTTTTGTTTTTATTGTGTAGCGAAGTTCCAATGGTCTTACTTATTAAGAAAAGAAAGCCTAAAAAGTTAAAAAATTCGATCTAACTTTGTACCTTAATCGGAGTTGACAGCTATTGACTCCGTTTGGTCGAGTAGGACCAAACATTATTACGAAAAAGTTCTTTAATATCGATCTAAAATTTAACCTTGATTCTATAACACGTATAGAAACTACATTTGCAAATTTTGGATAAAGTTGCATCGGGTCTGTTGTGAAAACCCTTAAATAACTAGTGATCTATGAAATTATAGTCCAATTTTCAGAAAATTAACTTAGTGTTGGCCATAAAAAGATCAGTGAACTGTAGGATATAAAGGGGAAATATTGACTATTCTATAGTCCCGACTATAGACTATTATGTAGTCCCAACTATATACTATTCTATAGTCCCAACTATAAACTATTCTATAGTCCACACTATACACTATTCTATAGTCCCAACTATACAATAATCTATACTCCAGACTATAGACTATTTATAGTCCAAACTATAGACTATTTATAGTCCAGACTATAGACTATTCTATAGTCCCTACTATGGACTATTCTATAGTCCCAACTGTACACTATTCTATAGTCCCAACTATACACTTTCTATAGTTCCAACTATACACTAATCTATAGTCCCGACTATAGACTATTCTATAGTCCCGATTATAGACAATTTATAGTCCAGACTATAGATTATTATATAGTCCCTACTATAGACAATTTTATAGTCGCTACTATGGACTATTCTATAGTCCCAACTGTACACCATTCTATAGTCCCAACTATACACTTTCTATAGTCCTAACTATACATACACTAATCTATAGTCCCGACTATAGACTATTCTATAGTCCCGACTATAGACTATTATATAGTCCCCACTACTATTCTATAGTCCCGACAATAGACTATTCTATAGTCCCGACTATTGACTATTCTACAGTCCAGATTATAGACTATTTTATAGTCCCGACTATAGATTATTTATAGTCCAAACTATAGACTATTTATAGTCCAGACTATAGACTATTCTATAGTCCCGGCTATAGACTATTCTATAGTCCCGGCTATAGACTATTCTATAGTCCCAACTGTACACTATTCTATAGTCCCAACTATACACTTTCTATAGTCCCAACTATACACTAATCTATAGTCCCGACTATAGACTATTCTATAGTCCCGATTATAGACTATTATATTGTCCCGACTACTATTCTATAGTCCCGACAATAGACTATTCTATAGTCCCGACTATTGACTATTCTACAGTCCAGATTATAGACTATTCTATAGTCCCGACTATAGACTATTCTACAGTCTAGACTATAGACTGTTATATAGTCCCGACTATAGACAATTCTATAGTCCCGACTATAGACTATTCTATAGTCCCGACTATAGACTATTCTATAGTCCCGACTATAGACTATTCTATAGTCCCGACTATAGACTATTCTATAGCTCCGACTATAGACTGTTATATAGTCCCGACTATAGACTGTTATATAGTCCCGACTATAGACTATTCTATAGTCCAGACTATTCTATAGTCCAGACTATAGACTACTCTATAGTCCAGACTATAGACTACTCTATAGTCCAGATTACAGACTACTCTATAGTCCAGACTATAGACTACTCTATAGTCCAGACTATAGACTACTCTATAGTCCAGACTATAGCCTACTCTATAGTCCAGACTATAGCCTACTCTATAGTCCAGACTATAGACTACTCTATAGTCCAGACTATAGACTACTCTATAGTCCAGACTGTAGACTACTCTATAGTCCAGACTGTAGACTTTTCTATAGTCCAGACTGTAGACTTTTCTATAGTCCAGACTATAGACTACTTTATAGTCCAGACTATAGACTACACTATAGTCCAGACTATAGACTACACTATAGTCCAGACTATAGACTACTCTTTAGTCCAGACTATAGACTACTCTATAGTCCAGACTATAGACTACTCTATAGTCCAGACTATAGACTACTCTATAGTCCAGACTATAGACTACTCTATAGTCCAGACTAGACTACTCTATAGTCCAGACTATAGACTACTCTATAGTCCAGACTATAGACTACTCTATAGTCCAGACTATAGACTACTCTATAGTCCAGACTGTAGACTACTCTATAGTCCAGACTGTAGACTACTCTATAGTCCAGACTGTAGACTTTTCTATAGTCCAGAGTCTATAGACTATTCTATAGTCCAGACTGTAGACTTTTCTATAGTCCAGACTGTAGACTTTTCTATAGTCCAGACTATAGACTATTTTATAGTCTATAGATAAACTATAATATAGTCTATAAATCGACTATTCTAGCCAGTCAACCTCTTTAGCAATTTACAACTTTCAATAACAACTGTATTTTAAAATGAAACCTATTGGCAACTCCCTAAACAGTAAAAGGAAGAGAAGAGTCCGAAGAACAAAAACAATCACTGTTAAATAGTTGATAGTTCTTTGTTTATCACCAAACAAATCAATTTCTTAAAATTTATTATTATTTATTTTATAGTCTATAGATAAACTATAATATAGTCTATAAATCGACTATTCTAGCCAGTCAACCTCTTTAGCAATTTACAACTTTCAATAACAACTGTATTTTAAAATGAAACCTATTGGCAACTCCCTAAACAGTAAAAGGAAGAGAAGAGTCCGAAGAACAAAAACAATCACTGTTAAATAGTTGATAGTTCTTTGTTTATCACCAAACAAATCAATTTCTTAAAATTTTCTTAAAATTTATTTATTAATAACATAAATTTATGAATTTGTGTATACAAAAAAACTACGTAATAGTCATAAATATTTTTGATATTTTTAAAAATATTTCACAGCTAAAAATAACTGAAAATTTGATGTGCAAAAAAAAAAAGTACAAAAATTTTATTGAACGCAAGAAATATTTTGCTGGTAAATAAAATATTTCTTATTACTTTTTCTAAAATGTGTTTGATTTTATAATTTTACGTTCAAAAATATTGTAATTTTATACAGAAAAAAACTAACAACTATAAACATGTTGTTTAATGCTTGTTTGATTGTGTAATTTATGGCAAAAAAAAAAAGTTTTTTGAATTTTTATTTTTTTCAGAATATTGAAAGTTTTTTTCTTATCCAAAAAGAATCTCAAAAGTACGGAAAATATACAGTTAGAAACGTAATAAAAATCTATACATTTCAGCAAAAATTCTAAGTAACATTTGCTATTCATTCATCATTTTTATTTGATATAGAAAATTTGTTGGATGATTTTTTGTGTGTTCGATATTAAGTATTTTTTTTTTATTCGGTTTTTGGTTTTATTTTACTCAAATTGCATTGGAATATCGTCGGATGTTCTAAAATTATTTTGATTATATGTAGTACATGAAAATCTTGCATGCATGTTTGTTTTTAATATGAAAAATATGAGTAGAACCGTGCTAATATAGTGGGCGTTAAATTCATCTAATCTTTTTTAGATTTATATATATTTTTTTTTAATTTACATCAAAGTGTGTAAAAATTGAGAAGAAGAAATTACAGTGGAATACAGAAAGGATGGAAAAGTTGTTTTGTTTAAATAGGAAATTCGGACTATAGTGTAGAAGATAGTGTCAACTATAGCCAGTACTAATCTAGTCTAAGGTCCAAGCTATAGTCTCGTCTTACCGTCTGGAATATAAGACGAGCCTTTCGCCTAAAGTCTATTCAAAAGGCTTGTCTAAAGTACAATATAGGCAGGACTATAGTCTCCCCTATGAACTAAAATCTAGACTACAGTCTCCTCTACAGTTTGGTCTGTAATCTCTGTAATCTCAACTATAGTCCAGTCTATAATGTTGACTATATTCTCGTTTATAGTCTGGTCTATATTCTCGTCTTTAGTTGATCTATAGGATGGTCTATAGGTTGGTCAACAGTCTTCACTTAAGTCTCGTATGTAGTGTGAACAATGAACTATCGTCTATCGCGAGTAAAGCCAAGACAATAGTCTCGTCTATAGCCAAGACAAAGTCTAATCTATGGTCTGGATTATAGTCCCATCTTTAATATTAATTACAGTCTCACCAGGACTATAGCCTAGCTTAAAGTTAAGTCTATAGTTTGGTCTTAAATATAGACGATAGTCTCGTCTATAGTCTGGACTACAGTCTCGTGTAAAGTCTAATCTATAGTCGAAAGTCACGTCTATTATTTTTCTCTGTTGTCTCGCCTATATTCTCGTGCTCGTCTATAGTCTGGACATTAGTTTCGTCTATAGCCAAGACAATAGTATCTTCTATAGTTTAGACTTAAGTTTCATCTATAATCTTCACTATAGTCTCTAGTTCTAGTGTTGCAATATCCAAAAATACATTCTTTATCTCTTCAAATCATTTTACTTAGACTCTACTGTTGTAATATTTTCATATTTATCGGATGAAGAAGAAATACATATAACAGCAATGTTTATGTAGTGTAAATTATTACAAAATATTTTGTCATTAATTTGATAAATTTTTGTTGTTAAAAATATAAATTTTATTTGTTTACTTTTCTTAAACAAAAACAACATCAGATTTTTAACTCATCTTAAAAAAACTTGATAAAGGAAGCAAATACTTTTGTTATTAAAGTTTATAAGCATAACAAATTTGTTTAAAATTTGAATATAGAGCAGAACTAATGGAACTAAAGAGAAGAACTAATTGTGTTAGAAAATGGAAAAGTTATGGTTTGTTT